CCGCAAGTCCATATCCATATAGGAAACGAAATCATTTGATTACAATGTAACAGCAAGAAGTGTAAATAGGAGGCCAGGGGCCAGCAGAGTCAGCTTGAGTATTTCTCTAAGAAGAGACCCTCTTTAACCCTTACCTACCCTCCCAGGCCTCCCTCATTGGTGCAGAACTCTACCAGTGCCATACTAAACACTACGCTAAGAACATGGCAATGAAAGCAACTGTTCTGCTACAAGGCACCTTTTATTACCATTATTAGGGAACAAAAAACCTCTTTGCTGCCTCTCACGCTCTTTTTATTCTTTTACTAAGAGATTGACTTTCCCATTCCATGGTCTAAGCTCTGCCCAACCCCCATCTAGCTATTCAGCGAGAGTACTCCTATTGCCACCATGGTTTAGGGGAGAGGGAACTGGAAACTGAACTCCGGCCTTCCCTTCAGTCTTGCACAGTTGTACCGGCTCCTCTCCTGGACTGAAAATGCTTCCTCTGATTTCACTGCACACTGTGAGCTTCTCACCATGTGCATTAGAAGCTGCAGCAAGTCACATAGAGCCCAACTCATTTGCTGGTTGGAGGACATCCAGCGTCATCTAGGCTTTTCCACCTTACCCTGGCTGTCCCTGGCCCGCCCCTTTCATTCATTGAATTTCAGTTCTTTTAATCATGGAGGCTCAGCATAGAGTTGCCACCTTTTCTTCATGCGAAACCCGAACACTCTAGCGACACACAGAATTTTGGGGGAGAATGAGTCGTGGCTTATTCATATGTAAATATCACAGTTGAGGCTATTTCCAGTGGGGGCCCCTATCTTAATTTTGGTTGCCCCTGTCTGCCTGACATCTTGTGTCCGGGTTCCTGTTGCCATGAAGCCTGCCTGGACACAGCATTCAAAACCCAGACTGTCCGGGTGAATCCTGGACATGTGGCAACCCTAGCTCAGCATCACATGTGGATGTTATCCGGGCTGGTCTGCATGCAAATACAGCCTGCTTAGACTCCCCCCCCCCATCAAGGCATTTTTATATTTGCATAACTCTGCTTGCTCTTAGACCGGTCCTTCCAGCCTCGCTCCCCCTCCGATGCAGCGTTCTAAGGATCCTCGAGTCATCACGTTCTATACACTGTGTATTGGACGTGAGGACACCGAGGGACATACCATCACTGTAGCGGAGGAGGCAGCAGGCTGGAGGCAGGGACAGACATCGAGCTTGTAGGATCAGGTGAGTATAACTTTTTTTTATTTTAGTCCCTAGACAAAAATGAGCCGTTAACCCTTGCAGTGCGGAGGGTAGCCCCACCGGAGCTAACAAAGCCCGGAGTTCTGCTTTAAAGAACCTTATTAAAAGTATATTTATATAATAATAACATTATCATCATTATTATATTACACAGGATTTATATAGCGCCAACAGTTTGCGCAGCGCTTTACAATATAAGGAAGACATTACAATCACAATACAATTCAAGACAAGATCGTAAGGAGGGCCCTGTCCCTGAGGGCATCATCATTTTTATTATTATTATTTTTGTAGTAGAAATGCTTTATGACCTAAATAAGAGCTGTTATAGGAAAATGGATAAAAAATAAATAAATAAAATAATGAATGCCATCATCCCCTATAATCCTTATTTTTCAGTTTATTTTAACAAATGAGCCCAAACACATTTCACATTCTTCCTGCATTGACTTGTGTGCAGCGCTCAGCATTTGGTCACATGACATCTCAGAGCTGCAAAGCAAGTCAGTCCTGGAAGGCATCCGTCTGCCAGGGGCTGTGACAGCAGGTCTGTGCAGAGAGCAGATAGATACGTGATGCCCAGCAGGCGTCACTGACAGCAGATCTCGCACTGATTGATGTCTGATTGGGGGATTTTCTACACTGAAGGTCATCAGATCCTCATATATGATTTAGAATGCATCCAAGCCCACCTCTCTTCTGATGGGCAGGTTGTTGCCTAAAATGATTGGGATTGTCTGTATTATATCCTTGTATCCTGAATAATAATCCAGTCGGGCAAGGAGGAGGCCGAGACCCGGAAGTGCCAGTTCGGCGGCGAAGGAGGCCGGGTGCCCGCAGCACCCGTGGTCCAGCGGTGAAGGAGGCCATGTCCAGCAGCGGGCGGCAGATGCAAGTAAGAGGATCACACTATGGTAAAGGGACTCTGCAGAGCCCAGCATAGATTCTATGGTGGTGGGCTCTGCAGGGTCTATGGTGGGCTCCGCAGGGTCTCAGGGGGGCTGTGCAGGGTCTGTGGCGGGCTCTGCAAGGTATCAGGTGGGCTGTGCAGGGTCTGTGGCGGGCTCTGCAGGGTCTATGGTGGGCTCCGCAGGGTCTCAGGGGGGCTGTGCAGGATTGGTGAGTCTCCGGGGGACGGCGCTGGAAATAGAGCGAGTTAAGCAGCTGGAGCTGAATTTTTTATTTTTAGCCACTGCCATGGGCCGATCCTTTGGATCTTTTGCCCAAGCTGGAGTTAGGTTTCATGCCTGCTCAGAACAGGAGGCAGGGTCACTTTATCCAAATATTCTGCACAAGGTCACCTACATTGGTAATGATGAGCTCCGTCCCGTCCCATGATGTAAACATCTGATTTTCTTACCCCACACTGTGGTTAAGCAGCTAATAATAGTGGTGTGGCGGCTTCTGCTGACAAGTCCCATTTACACTCTTTAGATTTAATTACACCTTCCCGTGGAATTTGCGCAGAACATCTTTTCCTGTTTCTATATTATTTCTATTCTTTGTTCATTTTTCTGCAGCGATCAAATAATTGACCATTCCCATTTAAATATTTCATATTTTATTTTATCCAGCTAGCAATCAGAGCCTCTAGACTTCTTTTTTTTTCAAGTTAACCAGACTAATCCTAACTACATTGCTTTTAAAAAAAACAAAAACCTTCAAGTTTAAATTAAGCATACAGCGCTCCGTGAGTGAATACATGCAGTAGAGAACTAGGTCTGCAATAGTTAGAATATCCTTGCAATGTATATAGCTAATCATGAGACAAGAATTTTAAAGGAGAACTATGGGGTTAGGGCTTTTCCCCATAGTTCTCCTAAGGGTAACGGGAGGACACAAACTAGCGTCCGCCCGTCACCCAAAGCTCAGTATATAGCGAGCTACAGCTCACGGTATACTGAGACGCCGCAGCCGGGACGGATCCCGACAATTCTGTCCGGATCCACCCAGGTGCGTGAGTGACACCTGGCTCTGCCTATCTAGAGGCAGAGCCAGCTGTACCCGCCCCCTCCCCCGCCCGTTCCGCCAGTCAGCGCTGGATGATAGGACTGGGTTGGGGGGGGAATCCCTGCAGGGAGCCGTGAGTGACAGTCACGGCTCTCTGCAGGTATAGATTGAGAAGTGAGCGAGCGACTCTATGTGTTCGCTCACTTCCCGATCTACTGAGCCGACCTGTGACAGTTTCATTGTCACAGGTCAGCTCAGATTATGAGGCTGAGTGAAAATCACTCACCTCATAATTCTCCTTTAACTCAACAGGTCTTCTAGGATTGGAGGAGAATGTAACTCGCTCCATGTGACAGCTGTGGTGCTTAGTTATTGGCCCAGTGATGTCACATGTAGGCGCTAAGATCCATAGCTTTGGCTAGGGCTTGCACAGGGCACTCTTTTATTACTCCTGTGCCTGAACAAAGCTGCAGGTGGAAGCAAAATGAAAGTTAGTATATGCTGGTAGGTAAGGAGGCATGAAAGGGACACTGTCCCTTTACCCATTCAACTCTACCCCCAGCATTGTATATTCACCCTTCCATGCTTCCTTGCTGCCTCCCCACTCCATCAGAGCTCTGGCTCTGTTGCTCTTTTGGGGTGTCCAGATATGGAGGCGCATGTGACCAGTGGCGTAACAACCTAAAATGTCTGCCCCGGGCGCCCATAACTCTGGTTACGCCACTGCATGTGACCTCCCCCATGTGACAGTGTTTAGGCCTAAGTGGCCAATCGTCAGGCCCAAACACTGCCACCTGGAAGGGGACAATGTTGTCATATGAAGCTCCAACAAAATACAATACTAAAGCTTACTCAAGATTAGGCAGGGAGTTGGTGAGGGAGCATGGATGGGTAAGTACACCTTGCATGGTTAGGTAAGTATGCCTGGCAGGAGGCACCGTCACTCTCCACTGTATAAGCAGGTGACAGTGCCGCTTTAAGTGGAACCTGTTGCTTTCCTTGCATGGGCAATCTTTATTATTCTTGAATTTCCAAAAATAATAAAGTTTGCCTTTTAAAATGAAGCCGTATGGCATAGCAGCATGGATGAGTCTTCATCCCATAGGTAATTTTGAGGGTGTGCCCCTATACTACACTTAACCAGCAGACGGTGCTGCAAGCAAAACCTGTACTTTGGAAATCAATGTTTAGAGAAAAACCGGGAACTCTGTGACCTGTGGCCTTTTATTGTTACATTCAGACAAAACATTATGACCACCCACCTAATATTGAGTAGGTCCCCCTTTTGCCAACAAAGCAGCCCTGACCCATCAAGGCATGGACTCCACAAGACCTCTGAAGGGTATCTTGCACCAAGCTGTCATTAGCAGATCCTTTAAAGAAGAACCCTGGGCATATTACATATTTACCTTTGCAGTGGGGCTACCTCTCCACTGCAAGAGTTAAGTGCTCGTGGGTATATATGTAAATTCTGTGAGCATCCAGTGGTTTGCATCTAATATCAAGTACACCTACCTGTATTGGCACTATGGAACAGAATTTTTCCAGCCTCTCATGCCTGGGACCATGAAAACTAGTCTGAGCCTCATATTATCTATGTAAGGTCCCTTCGCCCCCAACCATCCACATATTGCCAGTGGAGACCTTCAGGAGGAGAAGACTACCATGATTATCCAACTTCCCTTGGGTTCCAACACAGGTCACACCTCTTGGTACCACTGCCTTACTCTTCCCAATACTAAACATACTGTCATTGTGTGAATAAATGTTCATAAAACATATAATGACACCAGTCGTAAGAAACATCTCACCTTTGTTGATTCCTTTTGGGGCTCACTGTATAGGCTTCGTATCCTCCTACGCTCAGTCAGCTTGTTGTCACCGGCTACGGGCTGGTTGCACTCCCCTTTGAACATGGCCGTGTAGCTGGACTCTGGGGCCACCCTCTCCTCTGGAGGCTTGTACTGGTACTTGGCCTTGATTGATTTCACAGGCTTCACGTCTGTCCAGGCTCTGAACTCATTTCTGTTAAGAGAAGACAAGAGGAAGATTTAAAATTATGTTGCTATCTCCGCACATAACTCTGCCCAGGGCTTGCCAACTAGTTGTCTCCAGTTGAGGGTACTGTTAGTGCTCCAGCATACAAAGACCTTTTAGACCAGGGGTCTCAAAGTACCGGCCCGCGAGTCGGTACTATGTGGCCCGCAGCCAGCTGACGAGTCACAGACCGCGTGCCCGACTTGCCAGAGCAGCTACACGGTCTGCATCTCTGTCGGATGCAGACCGCAGAGCTGCTTCTGTTCTGAGCTCTGCCCGAATGATGGATGATTAGTATGTATTATTATGTGTGCGGGGGGGGGGAATGGGGGGGAGTGTATTATTATGTGTGCGGGGGGATTGGAATGGGGGGGTCCTCTATATTTCAGGTGCGATTGGGGATTCCTGTGTCACAAACTTGCGTTTTCCTGCAGCAGGAATCCCTAATCTGGCGTTTACATGCAGCAACTGTCACCCATTCAAGTTAATGTAATTAACTTGATTTAATAAGTTAATATGTGATATGATTACGTGCATTTACAAAAACAATCACTATCCCTCAATACACAATTGTGTATTGAGGGATAGTGATTAATTCCTAACTGCATGTAATCCTTTCACATATCATTACATGCGGTGTGCAGGCGTTTACATGCAGCAGCTGTCACCCAATCATTAACTCGAATGGGTGACAGTTGCCGCTTGTAACATATGCATACATTAAAACTGGTACCGTATATAGTAGCGCCCCCACGGGACTACAAAATTTGTCCAGTGCCCCCCGACTAAATTGAGTTTGAGACCCCCCTGCTTTAGACAATTGTGAGCTTCTAACCTTCTGGCGACAGTCTGGGAAGGCCTTTTTCAGTTGAGCATGATTGTGCCCCCTGTGCACAAAGCCAACTCTATAAGGATTTGGTATTACAAGAGTGGTGAGGAACTTGCTACAGCCCCTTGCTTCCAACAGAATCACATAAAGGCAGAAAGGGAATTTAGAAAAATACATCCCTACATTAGTAACAGAGCTAAGTTAGGCAGACGATAACAAACTGATTATGTGTAAAAAAAAGTATAACATTGTATATAACTGATTATAAGTGTGCTAGGCTTGATATGATATTGATTTTTAAAACAAAGGTGCAGTTGCCCTTTAAATGTTCACCTTTTTTTTAATCAGCTGTCTACTATACATGTGTCTTCAACAGGAAAAGGCTTTAATTAACATTTATTCTGAGCCCACAGGTCAATGGATGTGAAACACATACGAGATGGTGGCTGCTAATGTTGGGGCCCATGTGAACTCTGGCACAACAAGGGGAACTGATAAGTAGTGACAAAATGGAGTCTGAATACAATGGAGACTCAACAAAAAAGGAAGGTGTGTAGAGCAGTGGTAGGCAACCTCTGCATTCCAGCTTTGGTAAAAATGACCAATCCCATAATCAGGGCAGGATTCCCCACAAGGCCACAAAGGCCATGGCCTCGGGGCAGCAGGGAGTAGAGGGGCAGCACAGCTTCTCAGACTATGAAATAGATTCCACCAAATCTCCATCACCTCCGTGGTGATTAAAGATCTCAACACCGCAGCTACAGCACTGTCAGCGAGAGGGGCTCCCAACCTCCACTCACCGCTCCAATGCTGCACAGAAACATCAGCATCGCCCACATGCAGCGTCAAAGCACCCAATCACCGCAGAGGTCATGGATGGGCAAAGTCTGGCCCTCCAGCTGTGGTGCAACTACATGTCCCATGAGGCATTGCAAGACTCTGACAGCCACAGGGATTGCTCTCAGAAGCCGATACATGATGGCATTTGTAGTTTCATCATAGCTGGAGGGCCAGAGTTTGCACACCCCTGGCGTAGGTGATTAAGATTCAATGGGATCCTGTTGGAACTTCTTGCACAGCCTCACAGAGAAACACAAGCACACAGTCTGATATGCATGCTGCACATGGCTTGACAAACAGGAAGGAAGCCACAGCTTTTATTTTCTACCGTATTCAATACAACAGAGTATATACCATATATAACAGAACTTATAAACACTGCCATCTAGTGACCGAAATTGTATACTGCAGTAGTTGATGCAATAGATACAATAATGTGTATTCTAGCAGATCCACCCTACACACTGACAAGCTGTCAGTAAGCAAGTGGCTGCCTATCAAATTAATCCATGTGTATCACTTGCAGCTCGGCGGCGATTAAAGGCCTCAACGCCACATGCAAAAGATGCTGATGCCTCCATGTAGCACCATACCAAGGAGCAGTGGGGTGGCACGGTCGGACAAAAGCCTCCATACCCGTGGTGACAAGATCCCCAACCAAGGCAGGTTTGTCGGGAAGGGGGGCGCATTGAGGAACCTGGCCTTGGGGCAGCAGAGAGAGTAAATCCGGCTCTGCCCATAATGCCTATGACTCTGGAAGTCATACCTTCAGTCTTGCAATGCCTTGCAATGGAGTCTGGCAATGCAATGCAGAGGTTGCCTACCGCTGGTGTAGAGCTTAGAGCTCAACATCTGGAAATTGATGTCTTCCGAAGCTCACATTATCTATTTGTGAGGGATCATAGTGACATGTGCCTGATTGCTGTAGATAACTTGACATGCACAATGTTATCTCACATAGCCAGGACTCTTTCCTTGTATCTGTTCCAGAGTAATGGCTTCCAGCTGAAGATTGTGTATATAAACCTACATAAGCTAATGTCCCTTTTATTACAATTCAATATAATATAATATGAACTAATGCATTTCTTTAATCTCAGTACATCATATACAGACTTTACTCTGGACTTCTGATGTCCCTCATTTAAAGATAACCTGTCATGATAGAAATTAGCCATTGCAGTCATGCTGGCATTTAGGCTTTAATCCTTTCTTAGTCACTGGCCTGGAACTAGCAGGCTTGGTGCCTTTCCTCTGACACTCATCTGCATGCCTATTCTGGGTGTTATCTGTCAGAAGTAGAAAAGTGTGGAATGTCCCATTGCACACGAGACCGGAATCCCAGTAAATGTATTTCAGTGGGTGCTGAAATGACCTGCGGATGGCGCCGCGTACATTATGGTCTATAAGAATTATTCATCAGCACACCAGAGGTCCACTTTATCATTCCCCCTACATTCCATGGCAGACAAACATGGTATCGCATGCAACCTTTCAGAACCATTCAACGGTTCCTTCTTCAGGCAAAACAGAATGACGAGTGATGTCACTCTATTTTGCCTGATGAAGGAACGTTGAATGGTTCTGAAAGGTTGCATGTGATACCATGTTTGTCTGATGGCAAATAAAGACGGAACTATAAAGTGGACCTCTGGTGTGCAGGTGACTAATTCTTATATATCTATCAGAAGTAGAACACCAGCATTTTTAGAACATAGTCACCAATGGCAATCTCCATATTTGGGTATATTTAGGGCTCAGTATTACAGGGTGAATGGTGCTGGAACTAATAACATCAGCCTTGATACGTTAACCAGTTCTTAGGATGTTTCTTGGGCTATACCACCAACCAGAAGTGGCCCTTGGATGAGAACTTGATGAAGAAGAAGGAGATCAGTTATGGTAAAGCCAGTGGCGTAACAATCGCCATAGCGACCCAGGCGGTCGCCATGGGGCCCGGGGAACAGGGGGGCCTGGCCAGATACTGTGCGGGCCGCCTGTGTCTCTATGGCATCTCATGCTGGTGGCTTTCACTGGCATCTGTGAGAAGAATGCGCTGCTGCTCAGATCACTGACAGTGATCTGTGCAGCAGCGCGTTCTTCTCACAGCCGCTGCGGAGTCAATGAGAGCCAGCAGCGACGTTGGAGCAGGCTGGACCCGGCAGTGGAGGAGGAGGCGGGCCGGTGGTCAACAGCAGAGGAGGAGGTGGGGCCCGGTGACGGAGAAGGAGGCTGGCCCGGTGACAGAGGAGGCGGGGCCCATCAGCGATCGTGCAGGAAGAGGAGGTGGACAGGTAAGGGGTGTGATCAGCCCACCTGAGGGTGACCCTGCGGAGCCCACCATAGAAAGTCTATGCTGGGCTCTGCAGGGTCACCCTCAGGTGAGCTGCGTGGAATCTCAAGTGGGCTCTGCAAGGGACATAACTAGAAGTCACAGGGCCCCTTTCAACATTTTGCTATGGGGCCCTGTGATTTCTAGTTAAGCCCCTGGGTAAAACCCTTCTTTATTTGATGATAACCAATCCATTTTGGGGTTGCTCAGATTCCGGATCCTCGGGGGCTTTGAAAAGGCTACTTTCTAATGTTATTGTTGTAGTTCATGCCAGATAGTCAGTGCAAGCTCAAAGAAACTAAGTTGAGTGTGTGGACAGCAGAAGCGGTGGCTGATGTTTCTAATGTCGACGTGAGATAGTGTTTGCCTGATATGGAGAACCAGGTTCTGCTGGAGGAATCATTCGCTGAACAAGTAACACAACATGAGTCAATGCCGTCCATCCTCCCCTCTCTCCACTGACACAAATGTGTATGGTCAGCAGAACCTATGGCTCTGGTATCTTGGTAGAACAGCTCAAATTTTATATCCGAGCCTTCAATATGTTTCCGAGACTGTTTCAATTATAACGTACCCGAAATCCTTTGTAGCGTTAATTCCTCCTATTCTATTCCTTACAAAAATGTACCGCGGACAGGCTTACACGGAGACAGAGCGGGATTAATAATTTATGAAGTGCTAATCCTGACATTTATCCTTCCTTAATATTGGCTCCATGGGTTAGTATTGAATGTATTACACGCTAATACCATGAATAATTCTTCACTTCTCTTCCCCAGTTTATGATAATCGGTAACATTTCACCACAATGTTTCACTTTTTTCCCCCCAAGCTGGCCGTGCTTTTATTGGCTAAGAGACTAACCCTTTCATGACCAGAAGACCTTGATGCCTAGATGGCCCAGACCAAATTTAGACCTTTACACTCAAAAATCTAATTCTACCAATGCATGCCTCTATGTATGATGATTAATAATAACATAGACAT